AAACCCCACACCCTAAACCCGAAACCCTAAACCCGACCCTTCGGGGTTCCCTTGTCGTAAGACTTTGCCACGGGGCGGACTTTGGCATGCTCGGCGGAAGGGGAATGACTGACGACCCCATTCCAAGTCATTCTCCGACCGGCTTACATGGGTTTAGGTTTAGGGTTTAGGGTTTTTGTTTTATTAAAGTGTATTGGAGTTTAGGGTTTAGGGTTTAGGGTTTTAGGTTTAGGGTTTCGGGTTTTAGGGTTTAGGGTGAGTGCCATCCAGAACCTTTTGCCGGGAACGGTGCCTCCCCAGCCCTACACCTGGCACCCGTCACCACCCTTATACTTCTACAGTAACAAACGCCAGCCCCGTAACCCGGAAACCACGGACCACAAGCCGAGCAACTAATTATTTAATATAGAGGCTTGAAAGTAATTACCTATACTATTTTTGGGTGTTTTTGTATTATGACTATATCGTACAATATACCCCAAAGCCCTATCCTAATTATTGAGGCCCCTAGATTACCCTAACCCCGAAACCCCAAAGTCCCGGCACCAACACCCTTCCACCCCCTGGGGAATCCAGGTGGCTGACCCTATGATACCAAGTTTCTCCCTCGTTCTGCCAAACCCTCCCGCACATACACACACCCACACGCAGTCCCGGACCACCCAAACTACACTTTCAAGATTTTGGGCTTCGGAATTGAAGCGTTTCGGCAACAAAGCCGAACCTCGAAAAAGGGTGTCCGGATTACTGTCCTATCCTTGTTGTAGTGGCATACTTGCTGGAGGCCCAAGCAAGGGACGGTGCAAGCTAGGGAGAGCAGTTAAGTCCCACAACTTTTAACCCCCAAACCCCTCAACACCTAAAAACATCTTGTCAAGCTCTCCATAACCCTCTTACTCAAAGAGTGGAAAACTACCCTGCGGATGGTGTTAACTGTTAACCCCCAGCCCCTGAACCCAAACAGAACAGAAAACCAGATACAGCAAACCACGAACCACCCCCTCCCCCCCCCCCAAAAAAAAAACAATGAATAAAATCGAGCGCCTCACCGCAACATGAGCCAACAAAACGACATTTCTGCTCTCTGCCGACCTCCTGGGCGGCGGCTCAAGAGCGGACCAGCTGACTGCGACGATCATGGAACCACGACCTCGGCTCAATTGCCTAGGAATGAAGGTTGAGGTTTGGGGGGTAAGGGCTTAGGGGTTCAGGGTTCAGGGTTTAGGGTTTAGGGTTTAGGGTTTAGGGTTTAGGGTTTAGGGTTCAGGGTTTAGGGGTTCAGCGTCCTACGATTCCTACGGTAACAGGTTTGCTATAAGGGCTCCAGTAAGGGCTTTAGCATGGTTCTGCTAAGGTTTGTGGTAGAGGGTAACTACCGACTTATTTAAGGGTTCTTTCATAAAGGTGTGGCTCGCTCTAGCTCGCTACTATCTTCAGGCTTCAACACTAGACTATAGAATTAAAACATACCTTGGGGCTACAGAGAGACCTTGGAAAGTTGCTTTCTTTTCTGCCAAGGCTAGCGGCTTAAGCTTTCTCGGGAGCGGTTTAAAGTGTAGGCCTTCAAGTATCAGTTGTTTGACTTAGGTGTTATAGGGTTTATGGTTCAAGGATCAAATGTTTCTATGCTACTTAAGGTCGACAGGGACAGGTTTCAATTCAACTTCAATGCTTAGAAGCTAGCCGCTAATCAGGACGGCACCTGCGTACAACAAACGAAAGTCTCTCGAAAGACCTGCCGGACGCTTGCTTTAGGCTCGGGGTTTAGGAGGCTGACCACGGACTGATATAGACCGTCCAAGCAACACGAACCCCTCCAGTCCACCTCTTACGTGCCGAGATCATGTAAGGTCCCCCGTCGCCAAGGTCTTAAAGCACAAGATCTAAGCAAAGCCATGCTGAAGAAAGCTATTGGTAAAGGCTGATTACACCCTAAACGACGCCCTCTCAAGAATACTGTCCCCTCGTGGGAATGTGACACACTACAAATTCAAATTGACGAAGAAGATCGAAAAAGCCCTGGCCAGCCCACACCAGCTAAAATCGCGAGTAAAAATCTTCGAACCTTCGAGGCAAGGCTCTGAATTTTTTTTATCCAACTTAAGTTCAGCCCAACACCATGCAACCCAAAACAACAAAGCAATAACTTGTCTAACCGCAAGTAAGCCTTTTAGACCCGTACTTCGAACACGATATAGGGACCTTGAAGATTAGAGTAGGGCTCTGGGGTATATTCTACTACGAATTGCTAATGGTGGGAATTATTTAGACTCCTATAACCTAAACCCTGAACCCTAAACCCTAACCCCTAAACCCTAAACCCTAAACCCTAAACCCCTAAATCCCTAAACCCCTAAACCCCTAAATCCCTAAGCCCCTAAACCTAAACCGATACGTCAAGGCCTTAAACCGTGCAGGCGGGAGGCCCCAAAGAGCCCCGATTCCGCTGCGGGCTTCCGGCACCCGAGCCTTCCCAGCTGACGTGGCTGTTCTGGGGTTTAGGGTTTAGGGTTTAGGGTTTAGGGTTTATGGTTTAGGGTTCAGGGGGCGTCCTTGGAATAGTGCGGGCTGTGGAAAAACTACTTAGCAGGAATAGGGCTTGGGGGGCATAAATTTTGATCGATGTACGATATAATGATTTGGAACCCTGAAGCATCAAATTCGCCGTAATTCAGGCCCTGTACTATAGAAGAAGTCCTTAGAACAGCTAGTTATCCTCGGCGAGAAGGCATTGCTTGGGTTTGAGGTTTTGAAGGGCGTTGGGCGACTCCTAGTTTACGGTTAGGGCCGTTGAGGGTTCCGGTTTAGGGTTTAGGGTTCCGGTTTAGGGTTTAGGGGTTGGGTTTAGGGTTTAGGGTTTCGTGGGATGGGCGGTGGGCAAATTCGGTGGTCTGTTGGTGGCTTCCTGCGCTGCAGGTTTTGTTGGGCAACCCTTGTTCAAAGAGATTCATAGGTCGCAGGCTTCGGATGCTACATAGGACACGGCTCATGTAAGATTTCCAGCCTTACGGCAGACTCCTGTCCTATTTAGGGTCTTCAAGTTCACCCTTCACACCCTTAACCGTACAGTCCTTCGTTCCAAACCCGATCAGCCCTAGCAGACACTAAACCCCACAGCCCAAAGCTCCCACGGCTAAAGCCCTGAACCCTAACTCGGCGGCCCTGGACCCCAGACCCCATACACAGCTCAAAGCCATCGTCTTCAACTTGAAAGCGCAGAGACATGTTTGGAGTTTAGGGTTAGGAACCCTTTAAGCCCTATACCCTCAACCCTAAAATTCTAAACGCAACTTGAAAGCAGCTTCTCCCAGAACCCTCAGCCCCTGAAGCCCCAAACCGTCCTAACCGTCCCGGAAAGCTACATGGCGCTAGATCCCGAAAAACCCATGGGTATGTAGTTCTCTAAATGAGGGGCCTTTCTTAAGTCCCCAATATGGTACGGCACCCTTATTAACGTGCCCCAAGAAGGGGACCCTAATTTAGAGAATTGCCCGCCCCCTACACATCCTAAGCCCTTGACGCCCCAAGTGATGATGGGTTTTTGCGCCGTAAAAATCCCTCCATAATGTAGGGGCCTTCACAATTAGAATAGGGTTTTGGGGGTTCCATATTATAATTCTAGTATAATATACACCAAACCCTATGCTAATTATCATAAGGCCCCTAAACCCTAAACCCTAAACCCAAACCCTACACCCCACGATCCTGGCGATGAATCGGAGAAGGTCGCCGAGGAAGAGCGGCGAAGCAACGCAGACGCCGGCCTCTCGAATCCAAAGGCCCAGGACCTTGTGACATGCCTCGAACCATAGAGCCGATAATAACCCGGTTTAGGGTTTAGGGTGTTTAGGGCTTAGGGTTTAGGGTTTAGGGCTTTGGGCTTAGGGCCTTTAGGGTTTAGGGTTTAGGGCTTTTAGGGCTTAGGGTTTAGGGTTCAGATAACCCTAAAACCCTAGAATACCCTATCGAAGAAACCCTTGAACCCTAGAACCTCCCAAGCCACAAAAATCCAAAGCCGTAAACCCCAAGCCGCGACCGAGGGCGTGAAGGGGTATCTTGAGTCAGGACTCGCGCTGGGAGTTCAACTTGGGAGTGGTAAAGCTCCAGCGATCCAGCATGACAGAAAGGGCCATAGTAACTAGATTAAGGCTCGGGGACATAGCATAGTATACCAACAGACCACAAGGAAGGGTATTGCAGAGTGATCAGGCTTCTAAAGTAGGGGTTGTTGGTGTTAAGATGCTCTCAGACGGTCTGGGGTTGCAGGGTCTCGGCTTCCAACATCACTTCATAGGCATACGACATGCTTACTTCGAAGGTATGACCTTAGAAAGGCTGGGCAATTTGGGGAACACCGATGTCACGGACATTCAGGGATCCGGTCTTGCATGCAACATAAGGTGTGGAATAATTGCTACTGCTCTTCCAGAGGGTTCCTTGCTGTTCCTATTATACGAGACCCGAAGCCCTACTTCAAGCCTCATACCTAGCAATGGAAATTCTATGACTCAGTGTGGGTTCTTAGAGCAGACGTAGTACGTGCCTGGAGTAAGCACTTTACCCCGTAATTTCTGGAAGCTAGCGAATCATCTGGTGCTTCTTGCTATGGTTCAAAAGTCTACAGACTATGCCCAGAGTAAAGGTCTGCCCTAAGCCCTGTATTGAACACAAACAAAATACTTGTGAAACCCCAGGAAAACCTTTAAATACCTCATAATCATCCTACAGCTAACGTTGCCACAAGCACCATAGTAATCTTTCTTACTAGTTCATAACTACCATGTTCGGCAGTATTGTTACTAACGCTACTATCGGTGTTGCTGACGTTGATTAACAATGCCTGGACAGCCGGTTGAGCTTGCTGGAGAAGTAGTTCGAGAGCCTCTTGGCGCTACCGGGCCTCTCGCGACAAGATGGGTTGTATAAGGCTGTACATAGCGCTTCATGGGGCTCTGGGGCTTTGCAGGGTGTATTTTTCTAAACCTTCGATCAACACCCCAGTTTTGCAAGGACATAAATGTTATCCCTGGTTTAAGCCTGATTGAGAGAAGGGGTATGCATTGTCTGGGTTTGGTGCCCCGACCGATTTGACAAGCAACGGTAAGAAGCATCTGTTATGATCAGCGTGCTTGGAAAATGCATTCATCCCGGGCCAACACACAAAACCCAAGCTGTCCCATAATTCAGGAACATTACACACTACATAGGCGTTAGGGAATATGGCTCTTCAGTCGACGGGTAGTGCGCTCTCACTGTCTAGGAACTATGCAATGAAATCTAGTAATAGCGACAATCAAGTGCCCAAAATGACAACAACAATGGCAACACTAATAATAACAAAAATACGAACAGCAATAAATTTATAACAACAAATACTAATGCTTACCACCAACAAATGCCAACAATGAAAGAAGTCGCCATAATAATAATAATAATAATAATATTATTATTATTATTAATAATAATCATCATAATAATAATAATGATACTAATAAATAATAATAATAATAATTGGCATAGTGGCAGTATAAGAATAGGAATACCACTAATACTCCGAGCATGCATGCTATGGTCCATGCCTCGAGAGGGAGGCCGGCGTGCTTGGCGCAGACCTTGCCGAGTTTCTCAGCCCTAGTCTGGGGTTTAGGGTTTCGGGTTTAGGGTTGAGGCTTTGGGGTTTTACGGCTTGGGATTTAGGGTTAAGGCTTTGGGGTTGAGGGCTTTGGGACTTAGGGTTTGGCATTTAGGGTTGAGGCTTTGGGGTTGAGGGTTTGAGGATCAGGCTTTAGGGAGTCTGGGGTTCAGGGCTTAGGGTTTAAGGCATACGTACTGCCATTCGGGAAGTAAGTCCCAAAAGACCACCCTTAATAATGTTGCTTTGATCAACGATACTCTATACAATGTCTACAACATGCTTTAGAGGCTCAGGGTTTAGGAGTTTCGATCATCTATAGTCTCGGGGTGTAGTTAAGGCTCAGGGGTTTTGGGATCACCTATATAACCTATGATGTCGACTGTGTCGTATCTAGTTTCTAACACAGGTTAGGGTTTATATGGTTCGGGGAACACGATCATCGTAGTCTATAACCTACTGTAGGGTTTAGGAGCTTAGGAATTAGGATCATGTGTAGTCTAGGGGTTTAAGGTTTAGGAGTTTCGGGATCATCTATAGTCTATAATATGCAATATCTACTATATACCATCTGTTACGGTTCAAGCTTTGTAGTCTTGGGTACTGTGCAGTAGTCCATAAAGCACTTTATTCTTCAGGGTTTAGGAGTTTGAGCTGCAGCGTTTATGGCATACTATTACATAAGCTGTGAGCTTAATTAGGCCCTCGGGAACAAGGGCACTCCTTTTTTTCCGAATGTTCGGTTCGAAGGGGAGACTCGTGTATTGGTTCCAAGACCCTACTGAGCAAGTGGCTGTTGTAGGGTTAGGGTTTAGGGGTTTAGGGGTTTAGGGTTTAGGGATGTTTAGGGTTTAGGGTTTGGGGTTTAGGTTTTAGGGCTTAGGGTTTAGGGTTTAGGATCAGTCATCAGGACTCGGGTGTAGGAGGGATGGACATTCGCGTGCATGAGTGTGTAGAGCATGGACATCGCTTCATTGAAGGCTTGCGAGCCCTAAACCCCAAATCCTAAACCCTCTCATCTGGGCAGGCAGGCTCTTGAAACGACGGGTCTGGAGAGTAGGAAGAGTTTTTGAGCATGCCGGTTTTGAATGTAGACCTGGACCATAAATAACCCGCCGCCGCTGTTTCGGCACTTTTTTTGTCGAAACGCTTGTTTCGTGTTGGTAAAACGCTGGTTTTTTGACTTTATTTTCTATATATGAATTTATCTCATTTTTTGAAGACGCTGGTCTTTCGAGCTTTCTGCGTGCGCGTTTCTTGCAATCTATTGGGGTGGTGCACAGTGTGTTCGGGCTTGCAAGCTTTTTTTGGCTTGCACTGTCGGTTCTCGGGATATTGAATCACCACCACCACCACCACCACCATCACCACCACCACCACCACCACCGCCAGCACCACCACGACTACCATCATCACAACCATCATTATCACAGCCGTCATCACCATCATCATTATCAAGATCATGATCATCATCATCATCGCCATGCCCAAGCGGGGAGTTACAGCTGGCTATTGCGGTGCCTTTATAGGTTTGGACATTCTCTGGCAATACTTAACATGATCATTTCGGTTTGTATCCTTTCGGTCATGTAGGTACGAGCGACATGTAGGCAACACTTGACATGATTATGTCGGTTTGCATGCTTTCGGCCATGTGGGTACGAACGGCATGTAGGCAATACTTAGCATGATTATTTCGGTTTGCATGCTCGAGCGGCATGTAGGCAATACTTAACATTATGATTTCGGTTTGTATGCGTTCGGTCATGTAACAAATGTAGGAGCGAACGGCGGGAGGTTAGAAAGCTAAGGGAGCTACAGGGGACTTAGGGCATACGGGGATTAGGAATGTAAAGGAGCTGAAGAGGACTTAAGGTGTCTGGGGACTAAGGGAACTAAAGTAGACTGAGGGTGCCTAGAAGCTACGGGAGCTAAAGGGGACTGTGGCCTTCTGCCTACGGAATCCCTTCAGTCGAAGCACCATTTCGGCGAGACGAGCAGCGACGCGGGAGTTTGAGGCAGCTTTGATGCCTGAGATCTTGGGCAAGGCTTGCCGTGTGGAGGCGAAAAGATCATGGCGTGCGCAGTCATGGCGCCACTGCCAGCAACGCACATATCCGAGAATGGATTTCAGGTTCTTCGAACCCACGGAAGCCGGCATATGCTTTTTGATGTGACCCCAGGCTCCGTCCAAGATGTCCGTGTGAATCTGGAGATTGCGACAGCCAAGAATTGCCAATGGCGGTGAGATGGCCGGCAAAAAAGGAGGGTTGACTTGAGAATTACACAGACTTAGTTGAACAATAAAAGTGCAGAATTAAGGTTCAAGTCGTGGTGACGCTTCAGACCGGAACGTAATCAACCTCCCCCCCTCCTCTCCCAGCAAACCTTGAAAGCCTTGTGCCGTGGTAGCGCCGCTAGCATAAATCAGAAACCCTATAACCCGACCCGTGATTCCCATCACGTACCCCGTATGGGCTATACCAACTCATTGTCAATGCTGGTCACCGCATGCCTTGCAAACAAACGGTTTATCTTCCGCGTTCAGCGAGTAACGCCCTGACAGCTGCAGGTGAGGCATTACACGAGGGCGTCGGCGGCTTCTGAACTGTGAAACTTACCATATCCATATTAAGGAACGCCAAGGAAGCATATTACGATTTGTCCCGGCCCGACGAAAAGTCTCAAACTCAAAACATTAAACCCTGAATCTCGAACCGTCCCTATACTTATACATCCTCAATCATCCTCATAATCCCTTATAGCAATCTTAAGTTACAAACCCTAAACCCCAAGCCCCAATCGGCCTAAAACTCCTAAACCCTAAACCGCAAAGTAGTAAGGCCCCGGCAGATCTTTCAGGAGCATGAGACCATGATCTTCTCCGGTGACATCCCGCCTCCCACCAAAACAACCGTGGAAAGATCACACAGGGACATACGGTTCTCGTCACCGGACAAATAAGGGCCCCGCAGCATGCTGATTATATGATACGTATATGTCTATGTATATGTATATATATATATATGTATATATATACTAATATATGTATCTATCTATATATATATATGTATTTGTATTATGTATCATTATCTATATATCTATATCTATCTATATATATATATATATATTGCACCCCCAACCCTGAAAGAATTTATTCTGCTCCACAAAGGTCTGCAGGTTTATTATCGCTCTCTACAAGGGTCTTTGAGGGTTGGTGTTGCAAGGTGTATGTTAAAGCCTGATAAAGGGTCAGAAAGGGCAACAGTCAAAACGACTCGATGCTATTAAGACCGCCCCATCGTCGCAAACAAAAGCCAGCCCAGGAGTGAAACTACTTAATTATTAAAGGGCCCCCCCCCCCTCCCTAATATTAAA